ATTAACTTAACCCTAGCCGCCAGCCCCTCATTCTATTTATAATTAACTTAAGTATGAGATATTACAAAGATGCCCTTAATAGGGCGGCAACTCAACCTAAGTAATTACAGCTCTTTAAAAAATAAAAACTAATGGGCCCAAGGCCCAACAWCATCTTAATTTAAAAGGAAATAAACTAAACACAAGTCGGCCCACTCAACAATTAGAAATGCAAGATGTCTGACATCACACTAACTACTTGAAGTTATGCAATTAGGAGATAGACAAACATGTTTACAGTTTCACATGCTTAAATAGTCAAGTGCTTGAAACACCTTGTCATGATCCACGTTTGTTTGCTTTCACTTTCACTTCAAATTTATTTTATATGTTATGCTTATGTATTTTGATTTGAGCCAATAAATTTTAAAACATTTATATAAAATTAAGGGTTTTCATCTTTTATGTATTATTTTTTATTTTTTTTCCAAAAATTTCCGCCTTGCTTTGTCCAGGTGTGTGCCTTGCCTTGGGCAGTAGAAGGTCCTTGTTCTTTTCTAGTGCCTGTCACTTTTAAAACATCGATTCTGAACCTTTCAAGTGCACAATACATACTTGGACTGAAGTAAGGCAATGCGAAAGCCACTCTTTTCTTTTTCTTTTTTCTTCCTTTCTTTTTATTATTGAAATGGTAACTTCATTAATCCAAATTTAAGTACAACTGTCAACCCCTAAAGAGGTGTTGATTCCTGTAGAGAACACTGATGTGGGCCCCACTGCAGTGGTCCCCACTGTGTTCGTAGGACAGCATGTGCAGTTATTTGTTCCAGTTATAGTAGTGTCAGTTTGAGTCAGTTTGTTAATTCAGTTGTTATTTATTTCAGTTTTTATTTACTTTATTTATTATGTAAGTGCTAAGGGCAGATGTGTCCTTTCCATTATGTACTAAACATAACCTATAAATAATAAGAAAGTGGCGGCGGCAGATCTGTTAGAATCTGTCCCTCCTTTCAACCACTTGTGTTCTCCTGTTTCTCTTCTATTCTCTCTCCTTTCTCTCACTTTTCTTCTGTTTTGTAAACCTAAAACCTATTRGGATTCAAGACTGATTACAGTCTTGATCTTCTACTATTCCCCAGTAATTTTTATTACAAAACTGCCCAGAACATACTCTCCCTCACAGTCCCTTGTTTAGCCAACGTATCAGCTAAGCCATTAGCTGATCTCCTTGTCCATTTGAAGCAAGCACCAATCTCCCTTGTTATATTGAGGAATTCCCTTATGGGCTGTCTATTAAATCCAGGCTCTCAACTTACCTGATTGCAACCAATCARTTAACAATATAGAGTCTCCCTCTATCTCAACTTGGTGCAACCCCAATTGTTTGGCATATCTTACACCTTGGAGCAAGGCCATCACCTCCGCCCTCTCAATGAGTTCCCCACTCCTATTGGCCCCAAAAGCATAGCCACAATTCTTCCATTTTCATCTCTGAATACTCCCCTACACTTGAAGGGCCTGGGTTATCTCTAGAGCTCTCATCTTTTCCTTTTAAGAATACTACACCTTCCTAGCATTGCTTGGCTTTGGAAAGCACTAAAATCATTTTGCTGWAAAAGCCAAATTCATCTTTCCCATGTGCTTGAAACCCAAACTACTAGCCTCTAAAATGGAGCATATCCAAGTCCAGCCAACTAAATGTTATGGGAGCGTACAACTAACTCGTGGCCGAGGACAGTGAGGTTTGAAGCTTATGGAGAAGACTGCACTGAAGGGTGTAATGTGGGTGATGAGAGAAGTTTTGAAGCTGTGGAATAGTGTGTGAGGATTGGGCCATAAGCATGTACCGACAGTGCCTCTGTACTATTTATGGCCCCAAACTCTAGTGGGTTTCTTATAGGTCCATTACCCATGTCCTAGGATTGAAGCCCAGAACAGCCAGCTCAACAGTGGAAGGATTCAAAATGGAATGTTGTTACTGAATGAGTGAAAGATATTTTATGTTTTTATTAGGTTGTTTTACTAGATAGTACAGTCAGGGTTTCTTGTCTTGATATAAAGTTACATTTTCTCTTGTTGGGAGTCAGTAAAGAATGATGTTTTGAATGTTTTCTTCTCTGTCTGACAAAAATGTTTTCTTTGCAACCCTTGGAGTTTGTGCTTTTAGGAGTCCTCTTTCTCTTCTGGTAGTAACTCAGTTAACCTCTTTCTTCCTATCCTTCTTGTGTTGTCTTTCTTGGTTTTCTTCCATTTTGTGTAAGATCTTCCAGGTGCTGCACATACTTTTCCTTGGGGAAGCATGGCACCACCAGTGTGTGCATGATTCAATTGTTTGTGTTGTGATATTGTGTTCCCCTTTTTGGTTGATATGGTGATTCTGTTACTTGATGTGCATGGAGCCAGAATGGTTGTTGTTTAACTTTTTTCTTGTGGCTTGTAGAATGCACATACAGGTTGAAAATTCTCTCACTGGCATCCCATCTAGTGCCCTAGCAACATATTCCAACTTATGGCATGCAAGCAATGGATTTGATTTACCAAAGGAATCTGGCATGATGACTGGCACAATGAACTCAAGTTCTAAAGAGGTAACACACCATGGATTAAGTACTCCTAGAAGTTCTGAGGAGACAGACTTGAGCTCCAAACTTAAAGGAAAGCTTTGGAGTTATAATAATGTAACCCTTAGATTACCATCTCAGAATATAAGAGAGATGTTTCTGCAGTCTCTAAGAGAGTTTATTTTACATAAGAAAGGTGTACTTGAGGAGGGTTGGCATGTTGAATTTAAACAATGTATGGGCAAATGTGATGCCTTTGCAGTTTATTGTGCTCCGGATGGAAAGAAGTTTGAGTCAATGTTAGATGTTGCCTGTCATCTTGGATTGGTATCAAATATTAGCTCTATGGAAGTTGAGGATAGAAGTGATGGCTTTGCTTCAGTGCCGAAAGGATTGAATTTGCGCAGAAAAAAGGAGTTAGCAAGACTTTCAGGATTGAATAGTTTCACAGGAAACCAAGAACCTTCAAGAAATGGCTGTGGTAGGGAGCCCTCATCAGACAATGAGGTTGTGAAAATTTCAGCATGCGACTTGGGGAGTAATATGAGAATTACAGAACCTGAGGCAGAGGGTGATTGTGGCAACAGGTCCCAACAACCTAGAGTAAGTAAATTATAAATGATTATTTAATGTTTAGATTTTCTTTGTTCTATCTTATTTTCTGCTGTTACAATAATTTTTCTGATTATATTCTAGTTCAGTAGTTTGTTATATAAGTTCTTTAATCTTTTTCTTTGTGCTTGATTGTTGACACTCTTTACAGTTCCAGGATGGACTTCCAATTCAGTATGAAGATTTCTTTGTTCTCTCTTTGGGTGATATTGATGCCCGACCATCATATCATGACACTAGCCAGATTTGGCCTGTAGGTTATAGCTCCTGTTGGCACGACAAGATTACTGGGTCTATTTTCATGTGCGATGTGTTGGATGGTGGTACCTTTGGACCTATTTTTAGGGTTAGAAGATGTCCATGCTCTACATCAACCATCCCTAATGGGTCAACAATCCTCTTGAGCCCAAGTCTTGGCAGATCTGATGCTAAAGAGAAAATAGAAAATGATACTTCTGCAACTTTTGGTATGGATTGTGATGATGATAACATTCAATTGATTCTCTCTGACCCTTGTGCACCTGGGGAATATGTCTTTTTTCCATACTTTGGAGATACCTCAAGTGAATCTTGTGATTTTCAAACACTAAATGGTTTGCCATCACAATCCAATTGCCTTTTAGAAAGGTCTGAAAGACTCTTCTCCAAGCATTTACAGCTGGGGGATGAAATTGGTCAGTTTGTGGTAGAAGGGAGATCATCTTCTTCTGTGTGGGGGATGGTTTCTCAGACTCTCATTGATGCTTGCCATGAAATCTACAATAAAAAAGGCAGGCTTTATTTTTTCTGTAATCATGATTTAGATGGAGTCTGCTCATCACATTTAGATGTTGAGGATTCAAAAAGTAGATATAATCTTGGTCCATTGGAAAAATTTTGCAGCTTGTTGGGTCCTGTTGACATCCCATCTGTAATTCAGAATGAAAATGAGTTTGAGACTTCATGGAGATCACTGTCAAAATGGTTGAACCAGGACAGATTTGGACTAGATATGGAATTTGTGCAGGAAATTATTGAAAAGCTTCCTGGAGTTCATGCATGCTCACAGTATGAATTTCTGGATAAAAGGAATTACTTGTCAACACCTCCAACGGTTGGTAGTGGTTGTCTTCTGGCTAAAAGGAAGGGCCACGTGCAAGGTTTTGAAGAAGGCTTAGATGGGTTATTTAGACAATACAAAAGACCCAGGAAGCAAGGTATGGTCGACTCTGGTATGGATCATCACCATCCTCGTGGCAAACTTTTGAGCTCTAGGCTTCCAGCAGAGCTCATTGGTGATGTTCTTCAGGTATGTAATATCATTGCCATTATAGCGGGGTATCCTGCAATACTTTTAGTCATTATGCAAGCAGGGGAGCCAGAAATTTTTCTTTTTTTCCTTTTTTTTTGGTTGGGAAACGCTAAGGAAATACATTACTTAAGGTTAATGTTTATCGTATAATTTAGTTAATTGCTATAATCTAGTTATATCATTAGTTTCCATTTTTAATTATGTTCACATTATAATTAATTAATATGAAATCCAAGTTACATTTTGACAATTTAGCAATTAATATTGTCTTTTACTCATTACTGACTTTGTCATCCTGTAGTTATCATTATAAGAATAATATTGATTTTTTTAAGTCATTAGTTGTTACATGCTTTTTTTAGCTATTTATTTATTGTTTATGTTTGGTTTAAGCATTAGCTAATCGACTAAAATACTTAATAAGCTTTCAACAGTTGGGCTTCTATTCTTTAATATTTTAGTAGTTTCTACTTATGTTTAAGAATGAAATGAAGAACAAACTCATTAATTAATGGACTAAGGCGAGGTATGGACGTGGGTGCTATGTGTTGTCTATGTAGTTTGGCTTTGGAGTTCATTCACCACTTGTTACTTCACCACCCCTTTACCTACCAGATCTGGTGCTACTTTTTTAGGGTATTTCAGGTCCAATGGGTCTTTCACCACTCATTAACTGAGCTGTTATCTTCTTGGAGAATGGGTCTATTTTCAACCAAAGGAAAGTTCTTATTGGAAGTGTATTCCCTTTTCTATATGCTAGATAGTGTGGAAGGTGCAGAATTGTAGATTTTTTGAGGCCAAATATGTTCCATTGGAAGTGGTCATTAGCAAGATGGAATATACTCTGAAAAGAAGGGTTGGTCTTTCAAGGTTTTTTGAGGGAATTCCGAGCTAGTCATTTTACTGATCATTGGTCATATCTTATATTTTGATTTCTATGTACAGGAGCTGAATGTTTATATTTTGTGTATATATACAAGTATACTTGTAGTACATGTTTGAGGGCTTCTCGCATTAATGCAATCATTTTTACTATTTATCAAAAAATTAATGCGCTATAAATGGCGTTTTTACAATAAAAAGGAAAGAGGACTAAAGCTGGAGAGATCCTTGTGATGAAAACTTAGTGGTGGAAGGTGGCACACAAACTGTGGGCTGGATGAGGAATAATTCTGCAAACTGCTGAGAACCAGTTTTGGAGGCAATAGCTTCTTTCAGCTGGGTCCTTAGTTAAGCAAATGATGTTTCTGATGTTCTATCAAGAAAAGGAGTTAGCAGACACTTACTGAGAAACATACCCATGAAATTACAAATTGTGCTCTTAGACTGGGGCCTGCAGTTACAACTTGAGGGGGTAGCAATGTGTCTGACAATGTTTTCACTTTTTGGGAGGTCATTGTATTACTCAGTTTCTGTATCTTTTGTACTAATCTTTATTATTCTTGTTTCTGACTCATTACATTCAAATCCATAATTAGTAAAAAGATACAGGAAATGATAATTTTTTAATCTAATATATTTATTAATGTAGGTTGAAATTCCTATAATTGCTCCAACAAATCTATTAACAGAGTGTCCAAATTTGTTAATCTCTAACCACCGATAAACACTGCTATTTATTTCATTACATTGTGGATAAATTCAATAATAAAAATAAGATTGAAAGGATTTTTGCAAAATGCAAATAATAACTTACCAAAGTGGGTAATGAATATCCATGATATAATCATGATACTTATTGAAGACTGCATTATAACTGAATACACTCTGATTGTTGACAACACTTGACTCATTTTTTTCATTTTTGTATCAATCACCACACCCTTCCCACCATGTATTCATGTTTGCAGAGATCTCATTTTCCCCCTTTTATTTAAGGAGATTTTGTTTAAAAAGACACTGCCTTGGAGAAATCATGCTGTTTTAGATGAGATTTGGGAAAGTTTAGAAGAAAGTGGAGCAAATTCAGGGGCATACCTAATATTCATTGTAAAATCTAGTTAGGGAATGTGTATACTTCGGGGAATTGTATATATAGAGTAATTAGGACACAAATGTAAGTAGTGGAAAAAGGTTTAAGTCAACTTAGGTATGTGTGTTACTTATGTAATTGCTACTTATATTTTTCTGTTTCTATTTGTTCAGGTATATGAGTTACTGTGGCGATTCTATGATATTCTGGGTCTAAGGGAACCATTGTCATTCCATGAACTTGAGGAAGAACTTATAAATCCATGGTTCGACAACTCAAATTTTCTTGAAAAGTTAGAAAAGGAAACTCAGGAAACTAGAGATCTAAGTTTACATACAAGTGGAAATACCTTATCCCCAAGTACTAAACCTGATTGCATGGTTCCTGGGGAAAATGCACATGCATTCATTAAAATGGAAACTGAATCAATGAAGGAAGCAGCCCAAGCTAGGCTGGCATCTCGAACTTATAATAGATGTACAGGTGTTGCTTTGACAAAGGCTCATAGTGCTCTGCTGAAAGTGCTAGTTGGTGGGCTACAGTCCAGAGTTGCAGCACTTATAGATCCAAGTTTTGATGCTGGAGAATCAAAACCAAGGCGGGGAAGAAAGAAAGATACCGATAGCTCAGTTCTGGTGAAAAAAACTAAGATTGATATGCTTCCAATTAATGAACTAACTTGGCCAGAATTAGCTCGTAGATATATTTTAGTTGTCTTGTCCATGGATGGTAACCTTGATTCTGCAGAGATTAGCATCCGTGAAGGGGGAAAGGTTTTTCGCTGCTTGCATGGTGATGGTGGAGTGCTTTGTGGTTCACTTACTGGAGTGGCGGGAATGGAAGCAGATGCATTGGTGAGATTGTATCACAATTTTCTTCTCTATTTCACTGTATTAATTGCAAAATTTTTTCTAAGTTTCTTATGGAAAACTTGTACTGTTTATATTCTTCATTGCCTTGCTTATTTTTATTTTTTTATGACTCCGGCATATGTTTAACTGTCAGCTTGAAGCCAGATATATCTATATGGAATTGTACATTGTTCTTGAAGCCATATGTTTAAATGTAAAAAACAATAAATATCCTTGTAGAACTTCACAAGGAAAAGTGTTATTTTTACAGGGAAAAGAATCCTTGTAGAAACTTTAATGTAGTGAGATTTTGTGAGGAAAGTAAGGGAGGCGATTTCAAAATTACATTGAGCATGAGGCTTTCCTAATCTGGTTTGGTTGCACCATGTCTCCTTAACCTGAGCAGCTGCCTTGGGTAAGTGCCTTACCAGAGACAAGCTTTCCAGCCGAGGCRTAGCCCTCCCTTCTACAAGCTGTATTTTCTGTAACAGTAATCTGGAGGCAACTGATCACAATTTTTGTGCACTATCCCACAAGCTACAAGGTTTTGATAAGCATTCTTAGTGTGTCAACATTGGTTGGGTATTCCCCACATCAATTTTGGAGACTCTTCAAAGCTGGCAGGTTGGCAGGCTAAAGGAAAGGTGCTCTGGCAACTAACTCATGGGGCTGATTTTTGGGTGGTTTGGATGGGGAGAAACAGAAGAATTTTTTATAACATTTGCCATTCAGCTTGATGAAATTTTAGGGATTGAGAAACAACCAAGGAGAGGTGGCCTTGTATTCTGGACCAATTGGCATTGGAGACTCGGTTTAGGCTGAAATATTGGCTCTGTTACAAGGATTGAGAATCACAGTGCAACTTGAAATTAGGGAATTGGAAATTGAAGGAGACTCACAACTAGTTATAATTGGGCCAAGAAAATCAGTTCAGCCCCCCCAAAAATTTAGGGACACTATAGCAAAGATCTCCTCTGGAACCTTGATCCACAGCAGTTTTCAGATCTCCTCTTATGCATCTATTCTAGGCCCCAGGATTTTTTTTTTGAGACTTCTGCTTCCTTTTTTGTAAGTAAATCTGAGAAGATATCAACTGTACAGATGCTGAGCCACCCTCTTCTCTGTTTTTTTGGATACTAGTACAATACATTTTATCTTCTCTCTCTCTCTCAAAAAAAAAAAGAAAAAAGAGAAAAAAAGCATCAAGCCTGAGAGACTTAAGCAACTTTCTCAAAGGCATCCATTAGTGAATGCAAATTTTCATTTAGTCTAGTACATATGTACATGCATTTATGCACACACACATATGATAAATGTAGGGAGATGTTTCATTTTGAAAGAAAATCGTGGTATCACAAAGTATAGCTCCTTATACACAAGATTCTGTACCTTGAGACTGTATATCAGTATGAAGTCATCACTGAAAATGATACTCTAGTCAGAAAACTGGAGAAGAACACTCCCTTGAACTCTTTAACAATTGACAGCCAACATTAAATAGTGGTAAAGATTAAAGACTCAATTCTCCACCTCCTCCTCAGAGGGCAACATTTGATAAAAAAGTCCAAGCATTTCTTTTCCTTTTTTTTTTTCTGAGAAAAGGTAACGAAGATTTCAATCAATTGACAGCCAAGAATAAATAGTGGTAAAAATTAAAGACTCAATTCTCCACCTCCTCCTCAGAGGGCTACATTTGATAAAAAAGTCCAAGCATTTCTTTTTTTTTTTAACCTGATAAAAGGTAATGAAGATTTCAATAAAAAAGAAGAGTACATAAGAAAATGTACAATGGAGAATAGAAGCACGCAAAAACTACAAAGGAAGGTTTCTGTTACTAAACAGAGACTCCCTGTGGATCCCGGGTTTAGCTAAACCATCAGCAAACACATTCAGTTCTGTAGGGATCCAAACCAGACTTGCATTCAAGTTAACAAGAATTTTTCTTTCTTCAGACAGATTATGAGTCAGTCTCCAGGGACCTTTAGCCCTTCCTCCCAGCCACTTAATTGTGTTTGTTGAATCACTTTCAATAGTTAGGTTCGAGAGACCCAAGTCTCTGGCAATCCTAATCCTAGTGAGAGCTGTCATCACCTCAGCCTTTGTAGAGTCTACCCGTTCCTATGGGACCACCAAAACCCAACGGATGTTTCCATCCATCTCCCTTATCACACCTCCAATTCCTGCCTCACCTGGATTCCCTTAAGCATTGCCATCAAAATTTAATTTCACCCCTCCAAGTCCAAGCATTTCTTTCCTTCCAAATCTTCCAAGTGATCATATCTGATTTGATCTCTGATATTTTTCTTCCCTTTCTATTTAGTTCAGCCAAGCTCCAACCTTGTAAGAGATCCAGTAATGTTGCTAATATGAAGGCTAGTTCAGTGTGCTCGAAGTTGGAGTGATGTCTGATCCTATTCACAGCAGATTGGGAAGAATACTTCAGGGGCATATAGCAAACAGCTCTTGTTAGAGTGATGTCTGATAATTTGCCCAGTGCTCCGAGACCCCCTATTTGCTACTGTTGTTCATTCATTCTTCCTAATAAAAGACAATTTTTAAAAGATAAGGAACCATAGCTAAGTCATAAATCTAATTCTTTTAAGTATGTAACAAGAATTTAAGACCTTAGCATGGACTTTTTGGGCTTGCCTCAAGGGACTTGGTACAAAGCAGCTTGTAGAATTAGAGTAATGTGATTGGGAAAGAAATGAAGAGATTGAAAGTTTCACATGCTTGAATTGTTTAGTGCTTAAATATGCTTTAGATGTTATGTTCAATTTATTTTTACATTTCACTTTGAATATGTCTTATATATTATGTTTGTGCATTTTAATTTGAGCTAATAGATTTTTAAAAACATTTAGTTTAAAATTTAAATATGGATTCTTAATTAATAATATTTTAACATTTTTTGATTTTCTTTTGCAAATTATTTGAACATCTTTTGCATTTTATTTTTTTAAAAAAGTTTGCCTCACCTTGTGCCTTAGGCACAAAACGCCTCTTGCGCTTTTAAAACATAGAATAACTTGAATTCTAGAAACTTCTTGAGGGCAGTTTAGAGTTACCATAAAACAAATGTTATACTAAATGTGGAATAATAGTTAAATCCTACTTGAATTCAACTAGAAAATCTATGGATGACTGATCTTGATTTCACTGGGTTAACCTCATATTCTTCTTTATTTCCTCCACTCATCCTGTCTGTTTTTCATCTTTTGTGTTGCTGATGAGAAGAAAATGATGTATATGGAATTTTATGAGCATCTAGGATATCCCGATGCCTTTTCCGCTGTTGCATCTATAAAGCATTTCTATTCATATTTATGATGTTATCTCTTTTATTCTTTCTAGTTCATGCTGTTCAAGCTATTGTTCCTATTTGCCACCATATTTTTCTTTCTTCTTTGAGCTTTCTAATAAGATTTGGAGTTGAAGAGCTAAAATTTAGTATGCCTGTTGTGGCCGGGTCTTCAGTTCAGAAAATTCTCTTGCTGAATCTCTTGCAATAGAGGGTGTAAATAGTATCGAGGAAATTAGCCTCTAGGGCTAGTTTACCTGATTTTGGTTTTACTTGGATATGATTTTATTTGGGAAGAGTAGTGGGGCTACCTCTCTATTTGTGATCCATTTGGGGAGGGCTGTGGCCTCATTCTTTTGTGCTTTCTCATTTAATCATTCTTTATGAATACATTGTCTGATCAGTTACCAATAAAAGAGGATCTGTTAGATGGATGAGGTGGCGGAGCTGGTGATGCCTTCTTAGCGGGGATGAAGTTGGGTGCTGGACTTGGGACTGAGATTGAACGATTGGGAGATGGGTTAAATGGTAGAGCTGATGGAGAGGTTGGAAGCTGTGCAGCTGAATGGTGAGCAGACAGATCAAAGGATTTGGTGCTCCATCTAAGATATCTTTCTTGGCCTGGACAGCAGTTCTGCACAAATGCCCAACTAGAGGCAAGCTGGTGAGCAGATAATCCAGGGCGCTAGTTTTCCACTTTGTGGAAGGGAGGACAAGATGAGCAATCATCTTTTCATCCATTGTGGTTACAGTAGGCAGGTGTGGCTGTTCTTGGAAATCTTGGGATGAGTTGGTGCTTCCTGGAATCATTTCTGGACTCCATAAAGGGTTGGCCAAGTTTGAGTACTGTGCCATTGATGGTAATTTGGGTGTCGTGGAAGGAATGAAGTGGGAGAATTTTTGAAAAGTGCTGTGATCTACTGGGTAAGGATTCACACAATTTTTAGAGGAGTACAATTTTTCTCTAAAAAAGGGGAGTACATGGTCGAAGTTTTTAATTTTTTTAATTACTTGTATAGATAAATCCTTTTTGTAAAGCTTTGTCATCCCCCCGCCGTAGTTTGCTTGCTGGGGAGCTTGATGTAATTTTTGTGAAGTAATAGCAACACACTTACTTTTTCAGAAAAAAAAGGATCTCTTAGATACTCCATATCCATATCTTTTGTGTCTTTTCCATTTCAGAATCTTTCATTTTCCTTGTGTGGAATGAAGTTACCTTTTTTTGATCAGTAAAAATCTTTCATTAATAACAGAGAGATTAAGATACAATAGCTAAAGATTGCATAGGAATAAATTGCAATCTCCAGCAATCAGTAATAATTCTGCCCAATACAATGAAGATCTATTT